ATCGCTAGCTCGGATGACAACATTCGGGGAGGCCTTTACGACGAAACCCGCGACGCTGTTGTCAGTGAGGACTTCATTCTCGCTCTGTTGGGTGAGGCTTTGCCCTTCGTCAACCAAAATCCTTCGGTCATTACGCTCGACCAGATGGACACGCTCCTCAAGGCTGTCGAGGATATCCAGACAGTCAACTCCACTATCTTCAATGCAGCAGACGAGTTCTTCAAGCTCGTTCTGGCCTCGACGCCGGGAATGAAGGGCTCAACGCCTGCAGACTTGATGCACAAGAGCACTAGCTCGCTTAGTGGAAGCAGCTACATGCTCAGCGGAAGCTCCATGTTAGCCAGCCAACTTCACCGGTCCATCAGTGTTGGCAGCGGCAGTGGTTCTTCTCTCGCCAAGACGAAGCGCGGCTGGGACTGGAGATCGGGACTCACGGCTGGCGCGTCGGCCGATGACGTGCTTCGCATACTTCGATTGGGATTGTCGAGGGATTTGGCGACCTTGTGGCTGGCCGACGCGGACAACACGTCCGTGTACTAGGATCGCATTGGACGTGTCGCGGGTGTCAAGCGCAAGCGGGAGTGGACGTTGCCTCACCGGTAGTAGGGGTCCTCAGTCAGGCAAAGGACGGCATTTGGGAATGGGATCAGGATGGAGTTTGATGATGACGTTGTAAATGGAAAGGCACCCGAGAAAGTTTCAGATGTATAATACCATTGGTTCACCTGAGAAGTTGTCGGCTTCTCTTTGATGACGGGGGTGTCCCGCGTTATTGGGTTGTTTAATTCGAGACTGCACTTTGTACAGCGGCTAGCGGATGACATGTAGAGCCATGAGAACCATGCTGTAAGATGAGCCTTGTCAATCTTACTTGAGCCAAATTGTAGTTCAGGTTCTTGCCAACTTCATAGAGGCCATACAGTCAGCCATTCGATGTTGTCGAGGCCAGGGGCAAAACTTCATGCCTGAGGGTAAACACAGTACGAACACCGTGCGTAACATGACCACTGCACTGGCTGTGACGGCGATTTAGCGACGACACGCGAATGAGAAACTGCCAATTGAACACCCTTCAGCAAGCCAATTCATACACCACGCACGGCGGCCATGATACTCCGCCGGGACTCACTCATTTGCTCTGTTTTCCGATGCGTGCCGCCGGTAATTTCCCATCTTGAAACGTTGCCAATCCGGAAAAGATGCACATCTTGTCAACGGTGGCCCGATCCATCACGTCACGAAGCCTAGTACGTGTCAAACAGATATGCTGGTTTGATATTGAGCCATTGAGAGACTTCAAGCACGTAAAAGCGGAATAGTCACTGACATTCTCACCAGATTCAATCAAACCATGGCTTGTATGTCCGGTTCTTCACATGCTCCTGCTCCCTGTGTGGTGCAGAAGCGCCTCGTCCATCAGAAGATGGCATGCACCACTCGCGCGTAACGCTGCCTGGAGGTGGCCCCGTCATTGTCGAGCACAGCAACGCAGCTGACCAAGTTGGAGCCTCCGATTCCCAAGCGGCGACTTTTCAACCACTGGAAAAGCCAAAGGCCCCGTCTGCTTGGGGTTCCTTTCGTAGCCAGATCGCCAAAGCCCGGCCAATCCCAAAGGTCATCAAGAAGGTCCCCACGCCAACAGGAAGGAAAGGGCACGCTTCTGGCTCGACATCATCATCACATACCACAACAACAGCATCCTCAAATAGAAAGGCCAGGAGTGTGAAGCAGAGCCCGTCGCCGCCGGCGTCGGCGCAATGGGGCGCCTTTCATGCACTACAGGTCCAAGGCCCGGTCCCGGACCCAAACTCGCCATCCAAGTCGAAGTTGTTGTCGAAGCCACTGGAGAAGCCGAGGCCGAAGGCTGGTGCGGCGGCGCCACGGTGGAAGCGCAGCTCGCTTCCGGCGCAGGCGAGGGCTGGGAAATGGGGCGGGTTTCATCAGGAGCAGAGTGTGCCGGCCTCTGGGCAAGTCGAGGGCGAGGGGCTGGTCGTACACGATGGACATTGGTCGAACGTCGACCCTGTCGTTGAGGGAAGTCTGGAGCTGAGTCTGGAGACTTCTTTGTCCAAGGATGTTGGCGACAATCCAGTGGAGGTGGGAGCAAAAGAGGTGCAATTTGAGGGTTTAACAGAACATCCTGTCTTGTCAAAACCACAACACCAACAGAACGCGGCATCTGTATCAACCAGCAAACGGGGAAAAGCAAGGGCCAGAGCGGTCCCTAGAACTAGATCTCGGAGAAGTCGCCCCAACAGCGCCGCGGGATCGGGAACTAGGAGCTGGGGAAACTTTTTCGAAGATATCGAGAGGAGCGATCCTGAAATCGCCAGGACGACGGACCAAAAAGAGGAGGCAGATGCTCCCGCTCCATCCCGTAGCATCGCTGACGGTACCGCTTTTTCAAACGTTCACGTTTTTTCTGGGCGCGACGCTCCCTACGGTATCAATGTACACCCCGAACCAACACCGAAATTTTATGAGGAAATTCTGCCTCTGACCTCAAGGCCCCACAAACCCACAGCCTCAAAAGCCAAAGTCGCCCCAGCTCCTGCTGCCCACGCTGGACACGGATACATCACACAGGCAGAGGCCGCCGCCCTCATCGATAGACTTTCGCGTGAGAGAGGAATCCCAGTTATGAATGCACCCGGGCCCAGCCCGAGCGAAGCAGAACCCGAAGACTCATCAACCCAAATACATCCAGACTACCAGCCAGCGGTTCAAGAGGATATGACGATAGTTTCCAGAGAGGGAGCGTTGTCCGTCTTGCTCCAGGAGCCTGTGAAGCCGTTGCCTTGGGATGTCAATGAGCAGGAGCATGCTGCCATCAAGGAACGGCAAACATGTCTTTCAGACATCGTTCGCGCAGAGCAACGTCTTGCAGAAGAGCGCTACACAACGAAACGTCTTACAGAGCAACATCGTATAAAAGAGGATATGAGAGAGCATAGTGCAATAGACCGGTGTACAGAAGAATGCCGCGAAGAAAAACGTCGCGCAGAAGATCGCCGCATAAAAGAGCAAGAACGCCACACAGAAGAGCGTCGTATAAGAAGACTTCACAAAGCAGAAGACCGTATTAAAGAACTCCGCGCACAAGAACGTCGCGCTCACGAAAGGACACGCCGCGCAGATGAACGTCGCGCTGCGGAATTTCGCAAACTAGAACGCCGTATAGAAGAACTTGGCGCAGGAGAACCTAGCCCCGAAGAACGTCTTATGGAAAAATATGCCAAGTTCCAGGCAATGCAACAAAATCACCCTAATAAAATAGCCAAGGAAGCCTTACACGATTTCGATTATATCCTAGAAGAAGTGTTTACGGAAGCAGTTGACTACCGCCATGAAGTGAGATTCATCCGGAGTTGGCTCTACTGGATCAAAGGACTTGTTTCATACTTGGATGAGGGCAATTTAGTTCCGGGAGTTTGTGACCTCTGTGAGCGGGAGACTCATAAAATCACAAGACACCATGTCATTCCGAGAAGTCAACGTGATCGCGACCGATTCACCATTGAAGAGATGAACGAGTTGCTGCAACTCTGCCTTCCCTGTCACAGAGCTTTACACAGAGCCATTCCAAACAACGAAGAACTTGCTGTGGAATTCAACTCTTTGGCGCGGATTGCTGAACATCCCCGGATTCAATCCTGGTTGAAATTCGCGAAAGCACATTCTATTCGGGACCTCCACGGTCTGATGAGACCGCGAGATGAAGATGGCCTATTTAAGCTGTAAGTGCTCGGGACACTGGGTGTTGTATCCATGAGGAGGTGCAAATCTGAGAGTCGTCCCCCAATGGACACAACACGCACCCCATTCCGGAATTTGGAAAGGACAGCTGATTAACTCTGGCCTTTAGGGAAGAGGATGAGCACCAACTCCATTTGCTCCATATTGAGACAGCCGCCGCCAATTTCGTAAGCCGGGGGCGCCTGAACTTCATTGCTCTACGCGACTTCCTGAAGCTTCGTATTCCCTATCCCGTTACAAGAAGCGACCTAAAACATGTGCTCACGAATCAAAAAGAGGGGGAAAGCTGGAAAGGTCCTTTTCTCGAAAAACTTATTGCCGTCCGCCACGATCGTGGTGATGTAGTGACTGAGACAGGCACTAGACGACATAGCAAAGGACGCAGGAGACAGAGCATCAGGTAAAGTCTGATCAGCAATTGAAGCTCTATTAATCCCACTGGCTCCTCTTGGCTCAACTTAGGTACATGATCCCTGGACTCTACCTACTTGCACACGCACTCCCGTCGCCCAGTATCAAAGGCGGCCTCATACTTACCGCCAACGACTTTAATTATCCATGCCATTTGAGTCTGAATTATTGGTTTTGGTGCCCATTATTCTCAGAGTTGGAATCCGTCTCCGTCTCTAGTGTTGTGCTTCTGAATGTGCTTCCAGTGAAGAAGGGACCTGAAGAGCAAAAAGCGGTGTCCCACCAGACTAGTGACACTCACGGCTTCAGCAAAAGCAAAAGCAAACATACAACACCAGGTATTCGCTGGTCGTCACCGACCCAACTACTAATCCGGCCCTCATTAGCTTGTCTATGGGAGAGCGGACGGGATCCCGAATTTTCCAATGGGTATGGTCGTATGTGGTTGAGGCTATTCGGAAGGGGGTCTAGAAAGGCCCGAAGGTTGAGTGCCAGCCGAGGTCTGCTTCACTTTAAATCACGAGATCCTTTCGCAGGCACCAAATGCTACAGAAATAAAAGAGCCTTCGAAAGACTACAGGAGTATGCTTTAATCCTGGGGACTTTGTTGTTATGGGAACCGTCATACGGTCTAGACGAGGCACCTGATGCCGTGCATGAGACGGAGCTCTACCAAAACCCCCCCTGAACCACAACCTCGCCATCCCCCACACCCCACCGCTATCGAGAAAATCGAATCATACCAACATCACTCGTGATATGATGAGTGTCTTTTTTTCCTTTAACTAACTAAGTCATGGAGGGCCCCCCAAAAAAACCCCAACCCCGGGGCATCAGATACCAACCAAGAATCGAAACACCCACTCCGCAGCAACACCCGCGTCGTCCTCCCTCCTCGTCGCGTCGAACGCCCGCTGCAGGAACTCTGGCGAGAACCCCTTGGCGGGCGTGTAAAAATGCTTAATGGTCTCTTCCATGATGACCTGGTCGCACTCGAAATGGGGCTGGATCGTGAGGACGCGGGAGGGCTCGTACAGGCCCTGGACCCTGCAGTGCGCGCTGCCGCCGATGTTCTGCCAGGTTCCTGGGAGAGGTGGGAGAGGTGGCGGGGCGAGGGCTACGTGGTCGCCGTGGCACATTTGTAGCCGCAGACCGTGAGGGGTTGGTGATGAAGAAGAAGACTCTGGGTCCTGGGTTGGATCTGTTGTCGTCGTCGTCGTCGTTGTGGGCGCGAGAGCGGCCAGGCAGGGATAGTCCTCGACAAGTCTCGGGTTCAGCGAGATGGTCTGAACGCCAAACTCGTAGCCGTTGGGGTCCTTTTCCACGACGGCGCCGTGGGGCTCGAGGAGGACCTTGCCGATGAGCTGGTGGCCGAAGCAGGTGCCAAAGATGCGGACGTTGGGGTGGTGCTCGTAGACGCGCCGGATGAAGTCGCCGAGGCGGAGGACCCAGGGGTCCGTGTCGTAGGCGGCGGCGATGGAGCCCGTGATGAGAATGGCGTCGACGTCGGCCGGGTTCGGGTAGTGGCCCGCTACGACGTCCCAGGTCGTGAAGGTGGCGAGGTGGGAGGCTGCGATGCGGGTTGCGGCGGCGGTGAGGCGTTTGATGTATTGGGCGCTGTAGTATTGTCCGTAGAGGGTTTGGACGGCTGTTACCATGACGTCGGTGTCTAGGATGGCGATGTGCTTGACTTTGTCTGCCTTTGGGGTTGTTGCTCCTTCTGGCGCACTGGCGATCGCGCCCCCGGATCCTGGTTTGGGTGTTAGTCTACAAACTATGTGGTGTTGGGGATGTTGGGCTGACCTTGCAAGTCTTCTTCTCTCATCATGGATTATAGACACCTGTGTGACTCGAACTCGGTATCCTATGAAACGAGCAAATACAATTGGAGTTGCGAGTAAGAAAAAGCTCGCTGTGATTTGTTGGCCGCTGTGGATGAAGTCGTGAAGTCTCGGCAGCTGCTCCGAGTCAGATCTTCGGAGGAGATTTGTCACGGGATCCACGTTTCGGGCGTCAACGCCGGCGTCGGCCTCGGTGCCGAATTTTTACTGCGGTCAACCGGCGGCTGGTCTGGGAATCGCTTGCGACGCACGATATGAACAGTGAAAGATTTCAATGCAAAGCTGAATAGTATTTATGAGGGGAGTATATTCTGAGACTATCGCGTTGGTGTTCATGCCTCTGTCGACCACCTACACTACTATCGTGCATCGACCACATGCTGGATTGAAGTTGAGCAGCTTGCTTTTCAATATTTGTACCCCGACTTCTTCAAAATCGTTTCCAAAAGCACATGATTCTTCAGGGCCGTCTCAAAGTCCGCATACCGCGAAGCATCACCATTGGCGAAGGCATCAAAGATGAGGACTGTGTTCAGTCCCGCGGCCGAAACCTCAACTCCTTCAGGAAGCTTGCCGGTCTCGAGAGTGACATTTTTTTCTTCCCCTCCGACCAATTTGTACTTGAGCTGCTTGCTGGGGCTGTGAATCTGCCACTGGCCTCCATCCCAGACGGCCTCGATTTCGCCCTTGGTGCCGCTGATGATCCAGCGAGCACCAACCTCACCGGCCGTGACCGGGGTGGTTCGGCAGGCAATCGAGGCCAGTGCCCCGTTTTGCAGCACGCCTTGGACCAAGATGTGATCGGGGGAGGACTTCGGGTACGCTGGATCAACCACGCTGCTTCTGTCGGCTTTGTATAGGGGTACGGTGTCAACGTCGCTCTTAAGGACTGAAGACAGGCTGCTGAGATCGAAGTCGCCAACGACGTTTGTGAATGAGTCCAAGACTAAAAAGATAAGCCATGGAAAATACCAACTTCATCAGAGACAGAGTGACTTACAATGCCCAAAGCCGATGTGGAATGCGTTACCTCCGGTCTTGATATCGAGGTAGTACTCCGCACCCTCAACCCAGAAGCCCTCAGGGAAGTACGGGAGGGTGCCGACAACAGAAACGTTCTTGATATCACCAATCTCCCCACTCTGAACAATCTCCCTCAACTTGAGAGTGAGGGCGTCGGAGCGACCCTGGAGACCGACAATGGTCTTGAGCCCGCCCAACTTGGCCAGCTGCGCAAGCTGTTCCGCCTCCTGCGCCGAGGCGCCGAGAGGCCACTCGACAAAGACTTGCTTCTTGTTGGCGAGCGCGGGGAGCGTGACTGCGAGGTGCTTGGTCACAACGACGCTGACGACGACGAGGTCAACGTCCGGGTCGCTGGCCAGCTGCTCGACGTCGCCGTAGGCCTTGGTCGTGCTCGGGAGCTTGTGCATCTCGATGGAGCGGCGGGCTGCTTCCGCGGACGAGTTGCAGAGGGCGACGATCTCGTAGTGTGGCGAGTTCTTGAAGGAGGGGAGGATGGCGATGGAGGCCCAGGCGCCTGGGCCCATGACTGCCTCCTTTGCGGAGAGTCCGATGATGCCTACTCTGATGGGAGCCATGATTGCTGGTTGAGGGGTTTAAGTGGAAGGAGAGATGAGTTTAGTGTAAGTGCTCTTTTCAGTGAATGGGATTGCAATGCTAGATGTTCACAACACTACATTCTCGCGGCATCTTTCTTTATATCTTCTAGGGACTCATCGATTTCTGTTCAGACAATTTATCAATGACATCTGGCGGCTCATGTAAGCGGTCACTGGGGGGAATGATGCATTTGAATCAGCGCCTTCTCGCCTGAATCCCCGATTCGACGGAATTCCGAACATGTATATCTGTGGCTTCATGTTATGATATTATGAACGGGCTGAGATGGTTCTTCTGCATGGAAGCTCATCATTGAGATTGCGCCCTGAATATTACCATCGTTCCCGCGGGGCGGAGTAGTGGGGTGGCTTCCGGACACGGCGAGCCGGCCATCAATGATTGGCTGGAACTCCGCGGAGTGATGACAAACCCCCAGATTGAGCCAGGTCAAGCAGGAACCTAGATTCTATGTGCAAACTTGACCTCCTCCGTCTGCTTACTGGTCGAGTTAACTCATATCATTGGAATTCCATTCGAGATGACATTGGCCACCAGTCGAAAAAAGTCTTGCGTTCTGTGCAGGACCAGTAAAGCGAGGTGTTCGCTGGGGACACCATGCCGGCGGTGTGAGGAAAGGGATTTGACATGTAGATACGACCACGTGCCGAAGCAATTAGCTGGGTACCGGTCACTACGTCCGGTCGAGTCAATTTCTGACCGCGGTGTTCACGGAACACTTCCCTATGGCACGGAGTCACCGATCCCCATAGAGAGTGAAGCCATGCTTCCGGAGGACCAACGGCACCTCGACCGTGAACCATCGATGGACTGGGCGAACCTCTTGTCAACGGAAATTGTCACAATTCCTTCAGACTCTGACCCTATTTTACAGAGACAACTCCCAAGTCCAAATCCTTTTTCTTTGAGCTTCGACTCGCCTCAACTTCGCCAGACGGTGCTTGGCGGTGCTGGAGTTTCGTGGCAGCAAAGTAACTCGAACCTATTCGGACCAGAGGACCTTGGCGCTTTGGGCACCATGGAGGATACAGAATACCAAGATCACGAAAACCCTTCAGGTGAGATCCAGTTGTACAGGGCGTTCAGGGACTGTCCGGCAAGGAAGATCCGGCCGTTCTACCAAGACAAACCCCTCGCACCACGAATCACTAAAACGGTGGCAACGTGCTTCACAGCCAGGGTGCTCCTCGGCCAGATCTTATCTTATCCCAAGATGATGATCAAAGGTGGCCGGATGCCGCCTTTCATATTCCCACCCTGCGCCATCGACGGATCGGAGTCAATAGCTGGATGTTGTGGCAAGGAACTTCACCAGTGTCTTCCGGAACCGCTAGCCATCTGCTGTAACCTCGTTCAAAGCTTCTATCAAAGGACTCCGGGAAGCGCGGCTTTTGTGTGGAGGAGTATATACAGTGAAGTAGGCAGGATCAGGCAAGAGGTGAGAGATCAGCACTTTTCTACGAGTTGTTATTTCATTAGTTAACATTTGGGTTAAACAGCATTCTTCTTATAATAGCGAACAGATGTTACACGCTCTCCAGGCCGTGGTTATATATCTGCTTCTTCAGGCCAATGACCTCCAATCAATATCAGAACACAACATCAAAGCACTATTAGTAGTGCCCAATGTAAGATTATAGGTGAAAGCCCAGTATTTTTTACTGACTAGAGCAGCTGCTAGCCAGATCGCTTCACATGGCCCTAGATTACGAAGTTGACCTGACAAAGAAGCTCAGTTTAGATCGTCGAGGCTGGATTCTCCGTGAGAGTACTAGGAGGCAGGTTTTGTGAGATCGGGTCATTCTGAAAAGTTTCGCTAACATATGAGGGGCTGCAGGACAATCTGTCTTTTATTTGGTATTGAGCTCTTAATGGACGTGGACCTAAACGCCGAGGAACCGGCGGACTGTGGTGGTTATAGTCTCTTGCCACTGCCCTCCGGCAGAGACTTGTGGGAAACAGTGTCCAGTGACGAATGGCGTGCACGGTATAGGAGGCTACGAGCTGAGTCGTACGATGACAAGGTTCTGAGCATCCAGGATCTTCGAAAGGCTAGACGAGCTTTGGGAGTGGACTCTGAAGATCGAAGCCAGGAGGACCAGCTTGTAGCCCGTGTCGCAAAGTGGTGCGAGGGGATCGATGAGTTCGGGATGATGGTCTGGATGGCTGTCATGCTAGAGTGACGGCATGCAGAAGAGCAGAACATCGTACGAGAGGGTTCGTGCTCCGAAGCAGTGATGTATGAATTGTAGATATACCAACTCTGAACTATCCAGAGTTCTCTCGCTCCGCTTCCGCGATGTCGGATGGTTTCGGTGGTTGTACTACGGCGCCATCCCCTCCGATTTGAGGGGCACGTTCGAGGCGATGACCGGGCCCCTTACCGTCGCCGATAGAGATGGGCTTTGATTTACTGATGGGTAATGGATGCAAAAGATCCTGGAAAGAAGTGACCTTTAGATATAGTTTGTCGGTACTCTCCTCAGTCTCAGAGTATCGCGTTACGAAAAGCGAGAAGTTGAGATCTCCGTGCGAAAGGTCCACTGCCTGACGACCATCGATGATGAATTGCTCCATCAAACTAAAGGCTTCAACAGGCTGCCCCCGGGCACCACTGCTCTCATGATCTCTTATCTGCGACATGATGCCGGCACGGCCGGTTGCTTCTTGCAAGGGAATCAAGGCGTAACGCAAAGGTTGCAGCGCAGAAGCATGCCGCTGGCAAATGAGACATACCTCCCCAACCTTGACAGTCCCAAAATGGACGCTGTATGAAGTGATGCAAGTAAACAGTTTTGATCCAGGCAGGGCATATTGCTGTCGCTGTGACTGCCACAGGTTCTTGGGCCAGGTCTCCATCATCTCCAACGAGAAGTTTGCCGGAAGAAGAGACCTGTCGATGCTCAAAGTCTCCGCCATCTTGGCCTGCAGATTGACCGACATACGCTCATCCACGTCCTTGGCGATGTATATGGTTTCCTGCTCGTGCCGTGTTGTACGCGAGGGGATGATCGTACTAGGAAGCTCTCTAACATAGATGTTGTCCCGGTGATATCGTAGCGGTATGAAGACGACGTAATCGTCTGGGAAAAGCGTACATCTTAGACACGTTCTGTTCTCGCCATGAACAAAGAAACTCGCCAAGGTTGCGTCCATGCGGATCCCTTTGTTGGTCGAGGAGAATTCCTTCTCTTGCTCGCACATGGCCCAGCTGATGGACTTTCGTGAAGTCGATTCTGTATCGTACCATGACGCAAACTCCGAGGGATGGCGGGCCAGTAACCCGCGGTACTGTTGCGAGGCTTCAGGTGGCGCGGTCCAGCAAAAGAGAGACATGTCGGTGCTGTTCTTGAGAATCTCTTCCTGAAGCCGCATGAAAGCACGCGACCCTTCTCCATAGAGCAAGGGCATGTTCACGCGGAAGAGACCGAGCAAGCAGTAGGCTATATCTTCGACCCGGGTTGTCTGCCTCTTTGAGGCCCAAGACATTCTCTCCGCAATGGAAACTTCGGTGATGGCCGCGCTGTTTTTCAGTACTCTAGCTGTCTTGCCATGTATCCCAGTCATCGCGGACAATTGCCGTAGGACGGCGCTGTCAGTCTTGAAACCGCGCGAGTTCCATTCGCAGTCGAAGAACTCCAGCGTCTTGGGCGCAATGAGCTCTTGAAGGGTCCACCCACGTTCAAACCAGCGACACGCGCGCTTGTATAGGCCAGACTCGGACATCCATAGCGTGGGAGACTCAACGGGCAGATCCGCGAGGTGAGCGAAACACATGGCTGAGAGCTCGTACCACTCGAACATTGAGTTGATCGCCTCTGAGAGTTCGGCACTTGAGGACTTATCGATGCAGCAGGTGTCCACCCAAGCCCATTCCAGGCCATTCTTCCTCGCGAGCTCGCATGTCTTCTGGATCTTGACGTAGCCGGCCTTTCCTTGGGCATTATTGAGATCTGCAAACTCCTGGAATGTCACTTCTCCGGATCCCCACGTATGAGAGAGTATGGCGTACGGTGGGAGGTCTGGAGGCATGAAGGCATGAAGCCTTAGGGTCTCGGTGTCGATGAGCCACATGGCTTACTGCTGCGGTATTTCATAGTCTGATAGGTGGATGTTCAGAACGAGAACGAGAGGCGGGGAATCTTTAGGCGACAGTATGCACACATGATGCAGCTAATGCGACAGTAATCTCAGTTGGGCTGACATTTTGCCTATTTTTTTTATTACCGAACCCCTGCATGATCAACGATATATCACCTGGCCGTCTCCAACGTTTCCATTTACGATTACTTGTGACTTTACCAAATCCTAGAAACCACGATTCAGTTGTCGAATAGGTTTTAATAGAGCGGTGAGGGCATCGCGGTAGACTTATTGACTAAGTATAGCGTGAGTTTCGGAGGCACTTTCATTCGGTAGACAGTATTTGAATAGAAACCAGCCATTGGGTTCGGTGCTAAATCCTAATCTGGACAAGACCGGACTAACGTCTGTCCAGAAGTACTTTAAACACATATGTGGCGAGACAAAAGCAATCCATATCGACTCGTTCGTTGTCTAATGGCTCTATTAGTACGCAAATCTCCAACCTCTTTCGACCCCCGAGCTCTCGGAGTAACCCTTAGCTTCGTCCAGTTTCTTATTCAGTCGAATCGCACGCCACTTTGCCAGGCCAGCCGACGTGACCACTAGAGCGCAACCCACTAGTACAAGACCGCCGCCTAGTCTGTAGAAGGGCTCCTGCGAACGCGGCCAGAAGTAGGGACTAAACCAGTGGCTGACTTGGCTAATACAGTTGGCGATAGCGATGAGTGCGGCCTTCTTGCTTCGAGGGGCGGGAACGACAGCTGTTTCCCACGATAGCTGCAGGTTGAGGCCGTTGTATGTGCCGGAAATAAGAAGGAAAAGTCCAAAGTAGCGGGCTCCGATGTTCATGGTCGAGATCAAAATTGCACAGCCG